GTTGCAGCAACCTCCAGTGCTCCCATGAGCATTTCTGCAACATTACCCGACCATATTTTCTGCTATGCAACTGACTTTCTGGATCATAATTATCTTTTCTAGAAAATTCCAGTTCACAATAATGTGGGCAAAAGCTTGCTTAGAAAGAATAAATATTTTCCTAGTGTTTCAGTGTGTTAAAGGAAGCGATATGATCCAGGAGGGTAGAAGTCTGATTATCTCAGCTGACTAAAGCCCAATGTAAGAAAGGCCAGCTTTACAGGGTCTCATCCCCAGATGGATTGATTCAAAGGTTTTCCTGAATTTCTATTTTTTTCAAGCATTTTCTTTACCTCTGTCTTCTCCATTATATGAAAGTAGTGTTTTATACCTCATGAGGGTATTGCAAGGATTAAATGAGCTATTTTATAATTTTTGAAATAGGCACATGGAAAGCTCTCAATAAATATTTATGCTATTGCCATGCTATTAGTATTCAGTGTTTTAACAAATAATTACTTAGCACTTACTGAGCCAGGCTCTGTGCAGGATGTAGGCCCTTCACAATGGATTGATCAGTTATTATTGTGATGATTCTATAGCAAAGCTTAAGGGGCTATCAGTCTAGATCAAGCCTGGTCCAGGGGATTTAGGGAAGACTCTTCTGAAGTGGCACTGTCAGCTCAGAACAAAGAATCCAAAGATCATCATTCTTGTTTTCTAAATGACCTAGCTCATTCCTTTTCAGTGCTGTGTAGTAGTCCATAGTGCGAGTTTACTGCTATTTAGTCAGCCATTGACACGACAAACAGTGTTGTAACAAACATCTTTGTACATATTTTGCTGTGCTCTATGAAGGGTTCTTTAGGCAGACACTGTGACTTGGAATTGCTGGGTCAAAGCATAAGTTCATCATTAGTGTTAAATGGCATCGCCAAACAAAATGGCTTATGATAAGCTTTGCAAATATCGACTTGTGTTTGCTAAGTAAATAATACATGTAACAAGTGGTTCTGGAAAATTTGGATTTTACATTCCTTTACCAAATGTTTATGAAACATTAAGTTTGGGCCAAGAACTGTACTTAGGGATGGAATCTGTTGATCTATTCCTGGATTCTCCTTTCTCATGCAACGGTACTTTCTGAAACACTTTGGATGGGACCATGGGGCAGCTGGCAGGGGTTTGATAGCAATGTTTCTTTTTTCTTCCTGTTTTATTGTGGTAAAGTACACATAATGTGAAACCTACCCTCTTACATTTTTTATGTGTACAGTACAATGTTATTAACTATACGCATTGTGTGGTGTAGCACACATTTAGAAGTTTTTCATCTAGTATGACTGAAACTCTGTGCACATTGAATGGCGCCCTTTTCTCTCCCCTCCCCACAGATCCTGGCAATCACCATTATACTCTTGCTTCTATGAGTTTGACTACATTAGATGCCTCATATAAATGGAATCATGCAGTATTTGTCCTTCCTTGACTGGCTTACTTCACTTAGCATCATGCCCTGTTTTCTTGAGTAGCAATTCTGATCAGGATAGACCTTTGTGACCCTGTAGAATACACTCTCCTTTTGATTAGTACTAGGGACCTGAGGCAAGGGGTAGCTGTATGAAGGTCTTATGTTTATGATAGAGGCTTTCTTCTACACATTACCCCTTTGGGGCCTCTTAACATTCTAAGAAGTAAGTTTGATGATCCATGTTTGACTGACAAGGATACAGAACCCAGAAAGGCTGTCCTGTGTCACTTGTGGTCACATAGCCCGGAGGTGGAGATGCTGAGATTTTAATCCAGGCCCCTCTCACTTCAGAGTCCATGTTTTAAAACACTATCTGCTTTTCTGTGATGTCTAAGTTCTCCGGTTTCTAGCAGGACAACCATACATAGCATGATATCTATATCCGTGTATCTTTCGACATGCCTTGGAAAGCAAATGTGTTAGCATCCAAATCTGCTCTTTCTCCTGTCTTCCATGGATCCATGGAACCTCCCCCGTGGAACCAGCCCAGAGGCGTGGGAGTTGTATCAACTCCTCACTCTCAATCGCATCCAGTCCACATCAGAACCAAGCCAGGGCCATCACTTTGACAGACTGTGCTAACGTTGATGGTTAGTTTCACATGTTGCCTTAGGTTAAATTTTAGCTTCGTGAGACCATACTTGGGGGTGTTTAAGTCAGTACCCTTCTGATATGGGTGGGAAAAAGCAAGCTCTGCACAGGACCACTCCTCACTCTCCTCAGGCCCCCTAGCCCTCTCTCCACTTTCCTGGCATTTTCCAACCATCAAGCTCTCCAGCCTTCGGGAGAATAGACTAACCTGCTAGTTATCATCCTTGCAGTGGGGGAAGGGAAGTGGCTCGGCCCTTTGTACATGAACAATGACATGGAGGCTCATTACCTTTCCTTTTTATTATATCTTCAAGATTTCTTCCATTAAGTATTCTGTTCTCCTGTCAAAATCCAAAGTATATATCTTCAAGATTTCTTCCATTAAGTATTCTGTTCTGTCAAAATCCAAAGTGTGCTCCAGCAGCCCTCGTGTAGTCAAATATGCTACGGGTCCATTCATTTAGCATATTGTCGTTTCCAGACTACGTCTTGTCAAAGAAAGACACTCACAGAAATAAAACAAAAGAACAGAAGTCTCCAAATGAATGGGCTCGCTTCATGGAGGAGAAAGTTGAAGTATTAAAATTGCTCATCAGATGTTCTGAAAAATCATTTCAGCAAAAAAAAAAAAAAAAAGAAAAAGAAAAAGAAAGAAACAAAATTTTATTTTGAAGGATGTGTTCCAAGAACTTCCCCTTTGATTTTTTTAAAAACCCATCTGTCATGTTTGTTTCATTCCAGCCTTGAAGTAAATAGATTTAGAGAGTGTACGGCGGCCATTGAAACCTTCCACAGAAGAACAGAAACAGACCGCTCTGCCAGTGCCCTTCTGGTATACTTTAATCAAAAGGCTTTGAAATTTAAAAAAATATATCCATAGACATTTTGCTTGAGTTGGAATATGGTGTGCAGAACACAGAATGTTATTTTGACCTATTGTTGAATGTCTCAAAACTTTTGCTTTTACTTTGGGCAGCAAGGAGAGACTAACGCAGAATGACTTGTTGTTGGCACCAGGGAATTGATTTTCCCCTTTCATGCTTTGGTTCTGCCCTCTGAATACAAAATTTGATTTTTTTTCCCATAGAGGTGAGGCTTTGGAGTGCAATTCTTCCCTTAGAATAAAGAAGTTTGGCTTTTCAACTCATCTTGTCTATTTAACCTCATGATGTCAATTTCCCTCTTTTACTGATTTCACCAAAGGGAATTTGCTTTGGCCCATAGGAATCCCCAACGTATTTGGATACCTTTCCTGAAAATTTCTTTGAACTCGATGCTCTGTCCTTTAAATACCACCTGGAATGAAGACCCATGAACTAGGGATAGCTCCCTCCCATAAGACAGAATAATTGTTCCCTGGAATGGGTGAAGCTGTCACAGATGAATAACTGCCTTAGAGCAGGAAAGAAAACAAGAATATTAAAAACTCATTATAATATACAAATATTCTAAATAAATAAATAGCAAGTACTAACAGCCTCAAAATAATAGTGTAGAAGTGACTGACAAAGTGTGAGCTTTCAAATTCAGATACATAGTTGGAAATGTTTCATGATGATTAAAATGATGATGCTTATAGGCTCAGTGACAGTTTGTTTAAAATAGATGGGCCAACCTCTACCACTTATATGTGTAGATAGAATGAAAATTAGCATACATTGCAAGATGTGAGGTAGTTTGATTAATACTAAAAATATCAGGGATTCATTAAAATGTAAACTAAATTTCAAAATCAATACTACACTGAAATATTTACTTAAGAAATGATATGATGTTTGGAGTTAATTTCAAAATAATCCAGCCTGTGTGTAGTGAGGAGGGGCTGGTGAGGATTCTGATAAAACAAGATTAAGTGTTGCTAATCATTAGAACTGGGTGAAAGGTATATGGGGGTGCATTATATATTCACTCTGCTTTTGTATGTATTTGAAAATTTCCAGAAGGAAATAAAAGTAGAAAGTTTAGGAGGGAAAGTCAGTGTGACAAATTGAAGGGTTTGAGGTAGTAGAATGTGTTATCAGAGTTTGAGGTTGAAAAGCATAGTCTATAGGTAGTTTATTTTACAAGTTTCCCTTAAATATTGATAAATGACAAGATAGGAACATGTGATATGACCATTTGTGATTCTGATGCCTGACTCAAATCAACAGAGCTCAGAAAGAAAAGAGAAAGATGCACCATTCATTTAGTTTAAATTCATTAAACATTGATTTTAAAACGAATTTTTAAAAAATGATGTCTCATAATTGAGATATTTGCTTGCTTTGTTTTCTCTCCTGGTTGAGAGTAAGTTCCTTAAACTGCTGACTTTATTTCTTGAATAACTTTAAACTTGTCACAAAATCTAACATAGAGACTTGTCTGCAGTCAGCCCTTTGTACCTCAGTTGGCATTGGGTAAATGATAGCTTTAAAAATTCATATCCAATTAAACACTTCAGATTCACAGGTGTGCCTGGATACCTTAGTCACAAATAAATAAGCCCGAATCAATGTTAAAAGCTAGAAGATACCACTGTTTTTATTGAAAACGAGAAGAGAATGACGAAAAACTATCTTTTTCCCTTCCCTCACTCCCCTCCTTTTGATGGGATCTTGGGATACCCTGCGCTCCATTCACATCTGCAAATACATGTCATTCAGAGCCGTGTGACAGCCCGAGTTCTGGTTCTCAAGCTAAACGGACGGGGAAGGCTTATGACACTGACAGACGCCCCCCACCCCACCCCCAGCAGGTTTTTCCAAAACAGTATTCTGTGAAGGCTTCACGATTTTTCAAAATGCTTTCAATTTGGTGATGTTGTTGGAAAAATATTTGTCTCCAAATCAGTGTGCAGCGTCAAACAGAAGGGCTGGGGCCTCGCCGCTTCGCTGCTTTGCATTATTGGGAGTGAGGAGCGGCCGCGTCTCCCATCAGCCTGGGCTCCTGCTGCTCAGAAGCTGAGCAGTCCCGCGGGAAACAGGAGGCCTAGCACTTGGAAATACCAAACCTGCGTCGGAGCAGTGGACAGATTGATAGCTCCAACTGTGGTTGGTAAGACTTGGGTGAATATTTTGATATTTTTATGTCATATCTGAGGTAAGATTTGAAAACAGAAAATTGCATGTTTGGTGGTGATGATCGCAGCACCAGGGGGCTCCTCCCACGCCTGGCCCGCGGATCAGCGTTTCTCTAGGACCTCAGGGCCCAGCCTGTACCCTTGGAAGCCTTTGGCGGTTGGCACCAAACGGGAGCTGACGACAATCTGTTTATTTATTTTCTTTTCTGAGCAGGAATATTCTGGAAGGACCAGATGGGAGGGACTTGTATGATGAGTCTTCTGAGTGACTCTCAGAACAAGGTTCAAAATCAGTTTGTTTGTTGACGTTGTTGTTTTCACTTTAAATGTTATCAGCCTTCCACTCTGAACATCCCTGAAAGGAGAACCTGACTTCTCAGCCCTGAAGCAGGACCCCCTGGGCAGAGTCAGAGGGAGGGGCTCCATCGCATCCCCCCTCTGCAGAGTCAGCCTTGGGTTCTTTATGCAATTGTTTTCCAGGTTAGATTTATACCACCTCACAGTTAAACTGCTAATAACTTGGGGAGCTATGCTTAAATTATACTTTTAAATGACCCAATAAAGTCTTTAGTTTCTGTCTGGAGATAATTGTGGGCCTGACTTACTTTCAGCGATTCGTGGAAATTTGACTTGTGAATCTAATTTCTCAGACTGGAATTGAGACCTTTTGGTCTGGAAAATCTCCCTCACAAATAGATGTTTTGGAATAGAAGGTAAAAGCAGCTGCCCTTGGTGTACTCTCACAAGTAGGTGGGGCTTGTCTCTGGTACTTTCCCAGTCTCTTCTTTCTGGGCCCCAGGCATCTCTTTCGCACTCCTTTCAACTGGTCACGATCTCCTCTTTTTGCTCCTTCTTCCCTACCCTCTTCCCTCCTTACGTCCCTTCTGTCTTTCTGACTCCCTTTCTCGCACACAACCAACCTTCCTCCCTCCCTCCCTCCCTCCCTCCCTCCCTTCCTTCCTTCCTTCTTTCTTTCTTTCTTTCTTTCTTTCTTTCTTTCTTTCTTTCTTTCTTTCTTTCTTCCTTTCTTTCTTTTAATTAATCTTTATTGTTGAGATTATTACAGAGGTCTCTCTTTTTTCCCCCCATAGCTCCCCTCCACCCAGTTCCCACCCCATCCCAGGCCCTCACCACCCTATTGTCTGTGTCCATAGGTAATGCATACATGCATATAAGATCTTTGTCTAATCTCTTCCCCCACCCCCTCCCATACCTCCTTCCCTCTGAGAATCGTCAGTCTGTTCCATTTCCATGCCCCTGATTCTATTCCATTCACCAGTTTATTCTGTTCAGCATATTTTTTATTCATTTGATTTCTAGATTCAATTGTTGTTAGATATGTATTTGTTGCCACTTTGTTATTCATAATTTTTATCTTTATGTTTTTCTTCTTCCTCCTCTTCTTAAAGAATACCCTTCAGCATTTCTTTTTTTTTAAAATATATTTTATTGATTTTTTACAGAGAGGAAGGGAGAGGGATAGAGAGTTAGAAACATCGATGAGAGAGAAGCATTGATCAGCTGCCTCCTGCACACCCCCTACTGGGGATGTGCCTGCAACCAAGGTACATGCC